ATATTTCACATCAATATATTGGAGATTGCTGAAAGGCGTTGGCTACCTATTCGATTTTAAGTAAAACATACCTACTCGTATTGCACACATACACGCAGTACATAGCTGGGCACAAAAGTATTCATTATGATTTATTGGTTACAAGTAATAATATTAATATGAACTTCCTGATCGGCGATAGCACTTGATAAACTTTCTGTCTTTGTATTAATAGTTAATTTCATATTTTCACAGATCGTTCGTAGAGAGCGATATGATTTCATTTAGTGCCTATTCATTTTGTTAATAAATAATATTTTTACGGACCTTGATCTCTATAATATAAGCTTACTAGTCACTACATAATGTAATAATAGCTTAACAGTTAATTATGTTCACGGATATGGTATTCATTGTCTCAAACAATGTATATTGTAAAAAGTAGAAACAAGGACTTATATAGGAAGTACGCTAATGAACATCATGTAAATATATRAAGTAAATATAATATATGAATATGCGAAACAACTAGATTGCTATACAAATAAATAAACTTTTCAGAATTCTACAAAAGAAAATTAGAAAATAATAAATAAATAAAYKTATGCCGACATTTCTAACGTGTAAGAAATAATTTAATGTAGAATGTATCAAATTTTTTAATTGGAGTAATTTTGATATAATAATTATATTTACGAAATTCAGTCCAATTCTATTATTATTCAGATTTAGACACTGTAATGTATATACATAGTTTATACTAAACATATATACCTATTTTAAGATTTATAATAAAACAATTTTAAATTAAAATATGATATATTGATATATTATGTATATTATGTACTTACTACCTAGTACTTACATAATTATGATAACAATGTGCACTTAATAATAATTTATTGTTGTTATYGTCATTTTTTAAAATCTTCTGATAGTATAATAATACCTAAGTTTTTTTAAACTATACATTTTAAATAGGTATAATTATATTCAAGTCTCAAGAAAAATATAGGAAACAAAACTTTAAAAAGCGAAGGCTTTTGACTTAAGTGTCGAGACTAAGACTCAAACTTTTTAACCTGCACCACACATTATCAAATTATTCACTTATATCAGCTCCTATATCATCCGATATGAAAGATCATACTTGTCATACTTCTGCATAAAAGAARGCATATCCCAAGACAGTGACCTCTTGCCCAACTTGTTTAATATATTATATATACACAGCTGACATGCCTGTAACTATGGCCACCTGCTGATGACACTGCAATACTTTGTGCTATACATGATTCAGCCAAGACATCAAACAAACTCAAGTCAACATCCACTTAAATTCAATCAAAAACTAGGCAACTAAGTTTTAGATAAAATAAATCTGTATATGTACCATTTACATTAAAAAGAGCCAACTGTTTAATTTCAATGTACTCAAATATCAAATCCCGTCATCTCCTGTCAAATTTCACTGAATCACTATTGATAAAATAATAATTTGGAGCCTCYACTTTTACAGAAAAGAAAGACCCTTATAACAACAGAATAAACTTCCGATGATGTTTGTAATAAAAAATGTGTAAAATCTTTGAAAACTTTAATATCTTGGTTGATGAATGAAAATGAGTGATGGCTTAGGGAGAAGAAAAAATTCCATAAAAAAATGTCCACCCCCAGACAGATTTGTTATTAGTAATTTTGACTAGTAAGTAACTTCTCTGATTTATTTACTTATTTAAGCTATTAAAACATTATAGCTCCAGATAGATCTTTCCTATTCATAGTAAATTCTAAATCTACAATGATGACAAATTGACAAAAATATGAACTAATAATTTAGAAGAATTATCATATTGTATTATTTTTAATATACTTACCAATTTATTAAGTAATTGTAACTATATTATGCGTAGTCTGTACTGTATTTATAATTTTAAACTATACTATAATATATTAGTACCTATTAACGCTTGGTAATTAGATTGATAGATTGTACATTCATTTAAAATAAACTTTCAAAAGACAACCATTACAATAAAATACACATGTCCGTTCTCTGGAAATTAGAGAATTTCCTCATTGAAATCCAAAATATAAATAATACATATAATACTCATTATTCATAATATATACTAATATGGATAATCTAATAATCTATATTATATTATATTATTATGCAAGCACATTTTTGATTGGAACCAATAACTCTGCCTGTATACATAATGATATGGGTGAAATAAATTTATCTATTCATTGTAAAGTCATTTTCAAATAGAGTTACTCAAGACAAAATGTTATACAATATCGTAATGACGGCTAAAACATAAAATATATTGGAATACAGCAGTAGCGCCATCTGTCCATTAAATAAATGAAAAACATTTCCAATCAAAGTTGAGTACCTAGTATAAAATACATAAAAAAACAAAAGCTTAACCTACAATAAGAGAAATTAATAGTGTTTTACAAACGTGTATACAAATAATAGGAGAAGTAGTACAACTGGTACAAGTAYTAATACCGAACCATGTGAGCGTGATAAGAATAATGCAAATATACTTTAGTCTTCAGAGCGTGTTGGTTTTACAAAATTTTAAAACGATTTTCTAGTCGTTAAAAAAATAAAACACACATAATCGTTGTAAAATAAAAATAATYATTCATCGCTTTGCTTGGAATCAATTGGATGCATATGTTGGACTTAATCTACTATCAAGCCCCAAAGTTTATTATCATGATTTTAATAATAAATAAAAGTTTAATTAATCAATGTTTATTGCACTATAACCTTATATTTCATATTTAAGAGGACGTCACACTGGGATGCATTGTTTCCGTCTTAAAAACTTAGAACATACCAAAAAATGCACTTACGCGGGAAAACTTTTATCGGAGCAACGGGCGTGATGTCCTCTTAAAATATTTATTTTTTTCAAAGAAAATCAGTTTTCGTTGAATTTGTACCTCAAAAAAATATTGGGATATAAAAAGAAAATTATTCTGCAAAATTACTGTTTATTGCAGGTTCGTGTTTGAATTGTAAGCGTATATCTATAAAATAAACTATATTGTACTATAATATAATCATAATTTTATAAACATACTAATAGTATGATACTATATATTWATATATTTCAAGAAAATTCAACGAAATAGGTCCATCGCCCTGCAGGTGTCCTGAACCGCCGGCTAACTCTAGCACCAACACAAGTTCTTGCTGTTTATTCAGATTTCTAAAATCAAATAAAACTTTTATAAATTTAACTTCATAATCTACGATACGTATATATTATGGAAATTATTATAATCTATTTACGTGACTTATAATGTATACGTTTATCGGTTTATATATCCGATAGGCGATAATTACCCTCTAATAATTTAAAAGTATAGATACCTAAATTATTATATTGCATGTATATATATTAGTTAAATACCATTTACATTATCTGTATGTAATGGTACACGTATCCTTCATCTCTGTATAACAATATTTTCGTTTCCTACTGTTTCAATCGCTCCAAATACCTAGAAATACAAAGACACCAGTGCAATAACAAGRTAAGTCTAAATTTAAAATTWTTATATRTTTAAGTATTATGATATATTGATACATTATCTATTCCACATAATTACATAATCAGTAAATTTTAATTATTTAATAAAATAAACACAATAATAATTATACCATAATGCTTAAATATTGCAGTTTTTACAAGGTGAAACAACAAAATGTATCTGGTTATCGTACCGGATATGTTGTAGGAAAAAAAATGTTATCAAATCCATTACATATACTGATATACTGTTAGGTGTTAATGCACCAAAAAAGTGATAAATAGGTACAGCACAGGTTGATTCATGTACAAAAACAAGATATGTCTCAACAAGTTTTGATTCTTGTAACGGAAAAAAAATATTTCTTTATAGATCTATATTTTTGAGATATATCCGGACGTGTTTGATTACCTATTTTACCGAACRTAATAAATAAAAAAGTGAGTAAGTCGTGTATGTCAATGTCGCTCTGCTGTACAGTAGGTTACAAGTGGGTTACTATAATGGATGAAATTAAATTTGAATCCAATGATTTTATATCATTGTATACG